CATATGCTGTAAACTTTCGGGGCAACTAAACAGGAGCGTCAACCTTACAGTGTCGCAGCACCGGCAAGTGGCAGCGCAGGACGGCAGGGAGGCAGCTCCTCCTAGCGTCGGTGCCACCGTGCCAGTCGCTGGCGCAGCTGCAGTCCTGCACTCTGCACCTGGCGTGCGGTCCGCACGGGGATGGGACGGGACGGGACGTGCGTGCGCGGCTACAGTCCCGATTCCCGAACCGAGGCCACGGCCCACATCCATCTCCGGCGCGCGCCGCTACATCCAAAACCGGCCACAGGGGAACTGACGCACTACCACCACCGGTGCGGGCGTGCGGTGCTGCCTTAAAATTCAAAGTTTTTTCACTCTCTCTCCATTACATCAATTTTTGAACATATGTATGGAGTATTAAATATAGATAAAAAAAATAACTAATTATACAGTTTAGTTGTAAATCACGAGACGAATCTTTTGAGCCTAGTTAGTCCATAATCGAACAAAGTTTGTCAAATACAAATAAAACGTGTTACAGTGTACAGATTGCAAAAATTTGCAATCTAAACAAGGGCCAAGTGCAAATGTGCAATGCAAATTCGGTTTCCTGTTCGCCGCACGTATGTAGCGCCGAGCACCATCAGCGATTCAGCGCGGAGGCAAAGCAGCCATGCAAGCACCGACGAGCCGCAATGCACTGTTGTTCGTTGACCCTGCTGCGACCATACTACGTGTCTTCCGCATAAACCAACAAGCGTTTTGCTGCTACTCATGCTTGACACCCGATGCTTAACGTTGTGCTACCTCTCATGTGCGAGTGCTACTCATGCACTGTTGTACGGTACGGGTAGTAGTAGAGGTATAACACCCCATGCTTAACGTTGTGCTACTACTCATGTGCGAGTGCTACTGCCGCAGGATGCATGGCTGCGTGTCGCGGCGTTCAGCACACTTCAGGGGCATCTCCAGCTTATACAGTGGACGTGATATAGGGGGAAACTGGATACTGATACCAGTGGCTCTTAACATCTGGTCTACTGGACAATAGACTAATACAGTTCCATACTAGTCGCAGTAGCAACCTTTGATGCATTTGCTGTTCTGATTCCTCAGGCTTTTTATTTATTTATTTCTCTCTCACAGATGTCTTTCTTCGTCACCACCAGTACCCACCATCGGCAGCCACCTCTCACTGCCGCTCCACCTTCGCCACTATTGCTAAGTTATGCTCCACCGCCGCCATCCCTACAACCACCACTATACTCCCTCAGTCCCACAAAGATAGACGTTCTAGCATTTGGAGGAGTACCAATGAAAGAGGAGAATGACCTGTGCACCCCCACTTAGCTGCATTAATTGTTGTACGGACAAGAACGCTTGGCTCCGGCGGTGGGAGAGAGAGGCTACCGTGATAGGCCTGGGCTACTGATCCAGACTACGATGATAGGCCTCGCCCCTATAGAGACAGTATGGAGCGTCTTTCTTTCTGGTACACATTTTAAAGGCTAAAACAACCTTCTTTCTCGAACGGATGAAGTATGTGTGAGCAAGTCTATCCTATAGCCTTCTCCTATAAGATCTACTCCCTCCGTCCCATTGAGTTTGTCGTTTGAAAACCGTGCCCCCCTCACAATCCCGCTTCCCGAGCGACAAACTCAATGGGACGGAGGGAGTAATCACTAACTTACTCTTAAACCTCAAGCCCTAAATCCTAATTTAAAGCTCGACAGAGTTCAAGACAAATTTCCTAGTTACCTATCGCCTTTACTAGCTGGCAAAAAAAAAGTTCTAGAAGATACCAAATCACTAAAGTGAGTGTTAGTTTTGCTATAAGAAAACCATGAATGGCTAATCCACAAGGGTGGGCTGAAATGGATATATGATTATCCATTACACGTATCTTATGATCTGTTTTACTTCATACCACGTTTGACCGTCCTATAAGTACACTCTATCCATTTTAAACCTCAAGCACTAAATCCTAATTTAAAGCTCGACAAAGTTCAAGACAATTTCCTAGTTACTTATCGCCTTTACCAGTTGGCCAAAAAAATCAGTGCTAAAAGCTACCAAATCACTTTAGTGAGTGTTAGTTTTGCTAAAAAAAAGTATGAATAGCTAATCCACAAGTAAGGGTCGCCCGAAATGGAAATATGAGTATCAGTTATGCGTGTCTTGTTATCCATTTTACTCTCAATACCACGTTTGACCGTATTCGGCCTCTTTTTAGCAAAAGTATCTAGTTACATGTTACTTACCTTTTTCCTAAAAAACAGGAATAGTTATCCCACAAATATGGGTGGGTGATTTTTCCATCAACTCATTGTATTATCCGTTTTTACCTCTATGGAACCCTCTCTTTTTTACCAAAAATGTCAAACCTCATTCTATTATCTACAAGTATACTTTTGTTTCTTTTCTGCTGATTTTATACATATATAGTATATTTCTCTTTATCAACTCTCTCGACACGTCATGTTTCATCATCTCCTTGCTACCGCCCATCTAACCAACGGTCGCCTCTGGATCTTCATGTTTTGTTTGTTTGCCAATCATTATAATTGTCACACATCACGTCATCCTTTTGTAATTGCAACCCGACATCTGTGCCAGCTTTTCCGTTACACTTTATCCATTTTATTCCGTACCACGTAAGATCATATCCAACCCTTTTTCTTTACAAAAGTATATAGATTTCCGTTATCCATTTCCGTTATTATCCACAAGTGTAATTTTGTTTTATTTATGCTAACTCCACACGTTTCATTGTATCGTAAGTGGTAGGAACTTTGCCTTTCAATTTTAATACACAAAGATCGAATGTGCCATCAAAAAAACAATTCCAACACTTAAGTCACTCCTCGAGCAACCTGTTGACACCACCACAATATGGGCCAAAACAAAAACGTAACTAGCAGGTAATTACGATGCAAAGCCAAAAGCCCCTCATACGTCGGCCAATATCATCCTTCACCTTTCAAGCCTCCTGCGTCGCCTTCACTCTTTCCAAATATTCCACATGATATATATGACCATACTGTCCAACTTGTGTCGTTGGTCTTTTGAGAATCCTTTCTTTGCTTCCTCCCACCAAGAAATAATGTTTATGCGTTCACTTGATTGTGGTGGTAACAACAGCACATTGCAGCCTTTTTTAGGTTGCATCCTGTAGCCAAACCACTTAGGCAGAGGGGCAGAGTAAGCAGAGGTAGTCTATTTCTCTTTATCAACCCTCTCTGATGTCCGCCTCACAATACTCCACGCCCTCTTGTTCGTCTACCGATCCATTTCATTGCACGTTCCACGTCATCCTTGTACAACCCAACATCTACGCCACCTTTCGCCGTCATCCTCCCCTCTAACACCGGCGTTGCGGTGAACCTCTAACATTTGCCCCGGAGAAGACGGTGTTGGGCGGCTTGAGCCCCCCCGAACTCAACCCAAATCGCACGGGGTGAAGTTGGGTGGGTGGATGAATCCGTGGCGGCTGAGCTGCCCGCGAGGGAGACGGCGACGGCGACGGGGAGTGTGGAGTGAGAGCAAGTATAATAACGCTTTTGAGCCGGCGAAGAGCAGTCCACGTCGACAAAAAAGACGCCACGGTAGGAGAGAAACTGTGGAGCGGGCGATTCCCTTCTCGCCGGCTGCAGCCGGCTGCAGCACAAGCCACGAGAAAAAAGCTTGTCTCTTAGCCTGCAATGCTCTGAACATCTGAACGTATATTGATCTGAGCATTAAATACTACAGCCAACCCTACAGTCTGCCCCACTATATCAGTCTTCGATGCTGAAGGCTACAGCAGACTGGCGAGTGATGTGGCATGGTTATGCAGCCTGCTGCTGGCGTTTTTATTAAACTTGCTCTGAAGGCGATGCTCTCTGGCGGCACGGGCAGGTCGGGCTCCGATCTGACCCCGAGTTAACAGAAGACACAAGTGTCACTTGTTTGTTCCACCGCCGTGCCCCGCGCGACCCGGCAGAACCTCTCGCCGCGTCAGGCTCAGGTAGGCGTCGATGGGAGGAGAGACGAGGCAACAGTCATCGGCGCGGCCGGCAGGCCGCGAGGCTCGCTCCACTCCACAAGTCCACAGTCCAGCACTCCGCCCCCACCGGCCGGACAGGCGGCCACCGCCCGTCCTCTTCCCGTCTTCCCAGGCCCGGCCCCCGCCACGGTCCACGAGGGAAACAGTGGGGGCTGGCTGGCTGGCAGGCCGTGGGCAGGCAGGCAGGCCCCGCGTCAGTGACCAGGCTTGGGAGAACCAAAAATGGCAGCGTCTTCATTGCTGCCAATTCAGCTCTCACTCCCTCCATGCTTACTTCATTGCAGTTGCAGTCGCAACACTGATGACCTCCCGATCTGCCGCCATTGGTGTACTTGTACGTGATGTTAGAGCGACCATTTCTATCTACAGTAGGTTCGTGGTGGTTGCGTCGAGGAAACGCGAGAAAATGAAGATGAACCCGTGTCGGGCAGAATGAAAACCGGCGCCACGGATGGAGGAGTCGTCAAGGACAGAGACACACATTCCTCTGCTTCTTTCTTTTCGTCACCCAATTTTTATAGGCTTTGGATTTTTGGGTTACTGTAGCACCTTCGTTTTTATTTGGCAAATAGTGTTCAAACATGAACTAATTAGGCTCAAAACGTTCGTCTCGCAATTTCCCACCAAACTGTACAATTAGTTTTTCTTTTCGTCTACATTTAATGCTCCATGCACAGATCGCAAACATTCGATGTGACAGATACTGTAGCAACTTTTTGAAATTTGAGGTGGAACTAAACAATGCGTCATTCACCTTACTCTTTTCCATCTTTTTTCCCCACTCACATGACAAACAACATCATCATCATTCAACCTGGTTTCAACCAAACTTATTCGACCAATCAACAGTATTTTCCTCTAGCAACGATCCATCACCTCCACGAACCAACCAGCTAACACGCCGATTAACCGTCATCGAGATCTCTAGAGGTTAAAAAAGGTAGGAGAGGTGAGTGACAGACAGGAGTAAAAACTAGTGGGCCGCCGCCGCCCCCGCCGCGGCGCCGGAGCAGAAGGCGTCCCGGCGGGCGGAGCTGCCGCCGCGCACGGCGAAGTGGGCGAGCGACCGCGTGCTGGTCTCGGCGACGCGGTTCTCCTCGCACAGGAACTCCCTGGAGCACGCCCGCTCCACCTCCCGCTCGTAGTCGTGCACCAGCACGTCCGTCGTCGCGCCCTCCCCGGCCCGCGTCCGCGCCAGCACCCCCGCCGTGAATATCGCCGACATCCTGCCCGGCAACGTCGCCGTGTACCTGTCCGCATTGGAGAGCGCGTTAGCGTTAGATATCTAGGGCGAGAAATGAACGGAGCTGGAAAAAAAGATTGGATCTTTCTTCTTCTTTTTGGAGAAGAAGAGAAGCTGGATGGATGGATCTTGGATGGTGGAGAAGTGGAAATGGAGATGGCCCAGATGGGTTACCCGCGCGGGCCGTCGACGAGGATGACGTCCCAGGAGACGTCGTAGAGCTGGTTGGGGAGGTCGTTGATGGCGAGGCGGCAGTCGGAGAAGAGGAGGTTCTGGACGGGCCGGCACTCGGCGGCGCGCGCGGCGCGGGCGGCGTCGAGCAGGTCGGGAAACTCGCGGACCGTGGTGGTGTAGGCGACGTCGTAGGCCTCCAGCCCCGGGTGCCGGCCCTCCAGGTGGGACACGTAGTACTGGTTCTCGTCCAGGAACACGGTGCGGCCGCCGTGGTTGAGCGCGCGCCACAGCGGCGTCTCCCCGCCGAGCCCGAACACGAGCAGGTTGCACGGCGCGCGGCGCCTGAGAACGGCCGCGATGGCGCGCACGTCGGCGCCCGGCATGCTCGCCGTCGAGTTCCCGCCCGCCGACGCGTACTGCACCAGCGCGTCGAACACGTGCCCCGGCAGACCCTCGCCTGTTGCGGCGCCGGCAGCCCCTGCCCGCACCGAGAACGCCGCCGCCGCCCTCCCGGACGCGGCGGCGGCGGCCGCCCCCGCGCCCGCGGCACCGGGGTCCCGCGCGGCCGACAGCAGCGTGGTGGCCAGGGAGACGCAGGCGAAGCAGGCCAGGAACACGGCGGCGCACACCCGGCGCCGCGCGCCCAGAACCGCCCCGGGCGACCCCGCGCCGCCGGGCGACTTGTTGGACGACGGGTGCACCAGCAGCAGCTTCGGCCCGCTCAGCCCCTTCATCTCCTCCTCCTGCTCGGCTGCTCCCCTGCCGCTACCAGCTTGGGCCTTGGGGCAAGGCAATGGCGAGGCGGAGCCGGCGCGCAGGTGGGGTGGGCGTGACGAATTTATTGGTAGGACTGATCTACTCCTCGTCCTCCTTGGTAGGACTGCAGGAGGAGGTGGTGGTGGTGGCTGCGTGGGATGGGGATGGGGAATGGATGAAGTGTCGGCTCAAGGGGGGGAGGAGGAGGAGGATGGAGGATGGAGGCCGCAGCGTGCGAGGTGAAGAAGATGGGTTCGTTCGGTCCGGAGTCCGGACTCGGGAGGTGGTTGGAATTGGATGATGTAAACGAAAGAGGAGTTCCGTTCAGTCCCGCCGGGATTTGCGGTGGGTGGCGCTCTTCGTTTTCGTGACCGCGGCTCTCGGCTCTGGCAATTGGCATGGCATGGGGGGTTTGGCAAAAGGTTTCTGCAGATTAATTGCGTCTGAAAAATGTTCTTTTATACTTAACACTAACACTCTATACAAATTGGAGTATCTAAACTCATATACCAACTCATAACATCACACACCTAGTGTGCAAACAAAGCCAGGACATAGCCTGGGCAATGCTGGGAAAAAACACCGGTGAGACACCAACGTGAACCCATAGTTCGAACGCTGGCGGACAGCGAGCCAACCACCGGCTTCTGCCATATGCGCTACGCGCAGTTCTCGCGTCTGAAAAATGTTTGTTGATTAAAAACAGGAGTAATGCCACTGCAGCTAATCGCTCTGTTGGTTTGGTCTTATTTGGCTGATAAGCTATGACTGAAAGTACTCGTTCTGCTCGTTTGGGCTTGTTTGGTTTGTTTCCGGTCAACGAACAATATTTTTCTCTTACACCAAATCAGCCAACAATATTTTCAGCCATGGCTTATAAGCCAAACACGACCAAACAAATAGGCTGACTGTTGATTGATTTATTGTGAGAGAAAAATAATTTTCATTAGCTGAAAAAATACGGCTTATAAGTCAAAAGTCAAGTTGTATATCTTTAAACTCTCCGGGAGTTTGGCTTGGTCCATGGAGATGCCAAATCTTGTTTGACCTATTGCTGTGGAATTGGTTCGTAGAACTCGTGTGACTGGATTGCATTGGGAGTAATTATGTATTTATAAAACAAATGATTAGCTACTAGTATTATACTAATGATTCAGCAGTAGTTCAACCTGGTTGCGTCAACGTAAGGCACGAGTTTTGTCCACGTGGAAAATCCACCTTGTTAGGCCGTCAACGCTCCTTTGAACGGACGAAACGTTGAGGCACGAAAGCCATCGCTTTCTCTGTTTCTGGCCTCACCTCATCCCAGTTCCCGTTTGCACGGGGAAACAGCGTGACGAAGGGCCTGTTTTAGTTCCGCCCACTAAAACAGCTGTCTATATACACTTTATTTAGAGGGTATTTGATTCAGCTACGGACTTCTAAATCTAGTCATATTTAATTATTTTTTATCTAAACACTATAGTTAAATGGAACTAAACCATTTATGAGGGACTAAATTTAGCAATCAGAATCCAAACAGTGGCTTTGCTTTTAGCTACCCCTGATGACAAAGAAAGTGTTTGATCAGGGCTACTAAACTTTAGCTGGCTAAACTTTAGCCCATTTAATTACTTTTTACCCAAACACATGGATTAAATGGGACTTAAAGGAAAGCTAAAGTTTAGTCACTAAGGGGAGCTAAACTGAATTAAAGTCAATCTGTCTCACTCTTTAGTTATTTTGTAGCCAATCACTCTAACTGAAAGAAACTAAAAGGTCTCTTTTAGTCTCTTTTAGTCAATCAAACTAAAAAAAGATGACTAAAGTTTAGTAGCTGGTTTAGCTTGCTAAAATTTAGCAGCTTCAATTAAATAGGGCCTAAAAGCCACTAAACTTTAGTGACTCTTAAATTTTAATGGAAGTGTTTGATATTTCAGTGACTAACAGTGAAGTCATTAGGAGGAACGAACCAAATAGGCCCGAAATGAAACCTGCCGCTGTACCGCCCCGGCCCTCGCACCTTTTCTTCTCCCTGCGAAATTTCAGTTCCGGAACGGCTAGAATAGAATGGTCACGCTGCACGGCTGTAGGCTGCAGCTCGAGGAGTGCAGTCGATTAGTTGGAGGTACATTTTGCAGAAATCAGCTGAAAACAGTGGGCACAAGAAACAGCTCGAGGAAGGAGCACAATCAGTTTCAGAACGCACACTTTCTTTCTCCTTCCAAAGTCAAAGACTTGAGAAGCAATGTACTCCCTCCGTCCTAAAATAGAGATCACTATGGGATGCGTATAGATCAAATTTTTTCATCTTTGAATAGCTTTGTAGAAAATACGTGTAATATTTATATCTTCAAATAAATTTATTATGAAAATATATTCAACGATCTATCTAATGATATTAATTATGTATTATAAATATTAATATTCTTTTACACATAAGTGGTCAGAGTTGAAAATGCTGACTTTTCGGGAAGTAAGAACTGACTTCTGTTTTGGGACGGAGGGAGTATGTTTTCTTTCTTCACCTAAGATGTAGCAAAGTCACCAAGAAAGGTCATGAGATATGAGATACTACCAAAGTTTGGTGCCACAAAATGTTGTTTTGACAAAGAGAGAGAGAGAGGAAGGGATATCTTCATCCATAAATGAGTTAGATGGGGAGATGTTATCAGAATACGATTGGAATTTAAGGGCTCGTCCGGTTAGTTGAAAAATCAGTCGGATTTTACTGTGCGTGGATGAAAAATATTGTTCACCCTCTTACAAATTCCTCCAAATTCATTCAGATTTCTTCAAATTCTTCCCAGCGAACGCGTCTTCAGTCTTCACTGTCCTGCACTGCATCATCCATCGCCGTTTCACTGGCGCCTCCAAGAGCACAAGCTATAGCTGCCAGCAGGTTGACGAGACGAGCCCATATGATATGCGGCCATGCCCGTGCTGCTGCTGCTGTCCTGAACCTGAAGCATTTGCCTGCCCCACACTTTCCCTAAGGATTTCTGAACCACTGGCATTAGTTTATTGTGCGACCCAGAATGATGCAACTGTAAGCTAACCTTATATTAGTAGAGTTAGCTCGGCAATTAGCGCCTGAAAGATTTTTCTTGCTGGTAAAGAATGCAGTGATGTTGCATCCAGCAAAGTACAGCACCCTGGTGTATATTATCCAACAGAATCTTTGTACTGTCGTCACCAAAGTCCCAATGCATGAATATATATTGGATACTAAATAGGACAGTGTTACCGTGTTAGTACTATTACAAATGCATTTCTTTGGGACGAATCCATGAAAACCACGAAGACTGACGGGCTGCTTGCTCTACAAACACTGGTCACATTTCAGTGACACAAGGGAGTAGAGATATTTCAGGCATCATCAATCAAGAGCAGGAAATGGTCAGTGTGTCTGAAGAAAGGTGAAAGCAAGCAGGCTATCTTGGTCTCTTAAAATTGACGCCCATAAACTTTAGGTGGCTTCCCACCCAAGAATGTTTGCCACGCGCCAAACTTCCATGTCCGTGGCAGGAGCCGCTCCCCCACCAGGCCTTGTTCACTTTGCAATTTTTTTTAACCCGATAAATAATACCACTTTCGTCTTATTTGGTAAATATTGTTCAATCGTGGACCAACTATGCTCAAAAGATTCATCTCGTGATTTTCAACTAAACTGTATAATTAGTTATTTTTTTACCTACATTTAATACTTCATGCAAGCGGCTAAAAATTGATGTGATAGAAAGAGAGTGAAAAAACTTAGAATTTGGATGGCATCTAAACAAGGCCCAAACAATTAAAATATTAGGTCGATTCGATAATGGTGTCAACAGTTAATGGAATTGTCGAAAGCAAAGTCTCGCCTTCTTTTCAGATCTGCAGTGCTAGCTCATGGAAGCTGTGTGATTGCTCTTTGCTCCCGGGATCCGAATCTTGCTGAAATGCTACTATGCTAGTAGTAGCATGCAGCTCACGGCTCTTTTCCGGCCTAATCGCTTGTTGGTTTCAGCCAGCCTAAACCAGTCAGTCAACAGTATTTTTTTTTTGAAAAAAACCAGCATCATGTTTTATGCAGTTTGGAGTTGTTTTTTTTAAAGGCGACTTTGGAGGTTCAGAGAATGGATAAGACAGGCTACAAAGCTTAGCGATCCAGCTGGGATCAGAAGGCCAAAACCTCTGAGAGCCTTACACTTGACGAATGCATAAGTTCTCACGCTTAAAATAAAAGAGAACAAAGTGACAATTGGTTTTCAGGCAAAATACAAATAGATTTGAACAAGTCAGCTCCAATGTGTTAATGTGACTGAAGGGGATGTATTTTGACCTTGTATTCCAAACATAAAAATGTCAGCTAGGCAGGTACCCCTCTGAACTAAAAACAGGGACAGAAAACACAAACAATGTCAGCTGTCACTTCTAACAACAGGCTAGCAAACAGTGTGGCATAACGCATGACAGACACCATTTCAATGTACTACTATAAAACCAGCTTCAATTTTCTGACAGAGCACTATCACATTGCTATTGATGCAATTAACGGAGCTGTTGGGGGGTCTGACTGCACTAGTGCTTCAGAAAGGTGCATCCAAACTCTCCATTCAAACATCGTACTGGAACCGGAGATCCAAGCAGCAAATCTGACGTAGTAGTAGTAGCGGCGCTCTTACGAACAGCACCTGAAGTGTATCATATCTGACGAAAACCGAAAGGTACTGTACTTGTCTCTCCACTTTGGTTATGGTATTTTGGGCTCGCTAAAATTTGGCTGATGCGGATGCGGATTCGCTGTGAGAGAAAAATATTATTCTTTCGTCGAAAAGTTCTCTTTCTCGGAGGGCGTGATGGCTTTGCAGTTAAGTGGGGACAAAGGCAATTACTGAGGGATAATCCAGTGCGTTGTTCTAAACAAAAGGGCGGCAAACCCAACCACTCGCTAGAGGTACAAGAAGTTCAGGTTGCCTAGGCGTTAGGGGTCGGTTGGTGACTGCAGCTGAATTTGACAGTGAGTTGAGATAATCGCCTTATCCTGTCATGTCCAATAAACAGTCTCTCTCAGATATTTGCATGGTATGGCAGGCACTCGCAGCTTGTCTTTGGTACAGTGTGCACCTTTTCAGTGACCATAACCTTTCCTGGGCCTTGATTAGACGATGGTTGGGAATCAGTATTTGGTACTGTAGCACTTTCGTTTGTATTTGATAATTATTATCCAATTATGACCTAACTAGGCTTAAAAAATTCGTCTCATAATTTACAATCAAACTGTATAATCAGTTATTTTTTTATCTATATTTAATACTCCATGCATATGTCCAAAAATTTGATGTGATAAAGAAAGAGTGAAAAAACTTAGAATCTAATCAAGGCCCTGTTAACGGAAGGCGTGAACAATCATTGTTCAAGATAGAGAAACAAAAGAGCTGCTACAGTTCATCAGAAATCAGAACCATCACTATTTAGATACAGTACTTTCATGCATTAAGTAGGACAACCTGCAAAACTAATCTCTTGCATTATTATTCCATTACCCACCAGCCCACCTGGATCTTATTGTCACCCATCGACAGGTACAACAGATTTCATACTGCACAACTGATTTCTCATAATAATTTAACTGTAAATAAGGGACAATCCTAGCTTAAAATCTGAAGACTAGGAGGCAAGATCCGGAGAAGGAAATAAAAAGAAGAAGAGGTGTACAGGTAATAATAAGTGGTGAGATACAACCAAACCCAGTTACATAATGTCACGCATCTTAAGGACCTTTCATAGCCTAACTCATGAGCAGAACATTCGCTGCATGAAGATGTCATTGGACTCGGGTGTCAGTACAAGTTGTGTGCGAACATCAAACATCATTGAGTATACTCAGCTGCCGCTTGTGCTGAATGGAAAACAACTGGCTGTCTCTGTCTTTCAGCTGCACTTAGGGGTGCTTATCACGCTTCCGAAGGCCCATCCGTGATTTTGCATATCTATAACATGTTAAGGAACTGGATCAAAAGTACAAGAAAGATGAATGGAAAGTATTGCAACCATACATGGTACATGTTAACAGATACAATATGCATCATCACTATTCAGAGTTTCAAGCTAGTGTAATCAGAGACGATAGTTACTCTCACAATGATTGTTAAAGGTAATGTGTAACTTGCAATGCCAATCTCTCACGAATTGAAGTGACAAAGTGAGACTGAACAGACATGAACTAATCTCAGACTAGATATTTCAGATATAATTTGAAATCAAATAAACCGTAAGATAAAAATTGCAGCAAAATATAATAAAGGGCAGGGGTAGACCCAGTGCCGGAGGCTCCCACATGAGTGGGGTCTAGGGAAGGGAAAAACCGAGGTAAGCCTTCCCCCCGCAAAATCTACGGAGAGGCTGCTTCGAACCCGTGACTGGTGACTCAAAGAGACAGCTCTCACCACTGCACTGTGTCTGCCCTTCAAAGAAAAAAATAATAATAGTATAGAAATTTTTAATTATAGGATACTCTAAACGTATTCCCTCGCCAGGTGATGAGTACAGGATAACTCCTTGGAGACGATTTATGGCTTCAGTTGAACTGAATGCATCCTGCAGACATGAGAACTTAGGTTTATGGTTTACTTTGAAGTTTGGAAAGAATTTCAAACACATAGATAACAGTAGTTCAGTAGTGTAAAAAATCTTTAAGGAGTAATTCAAAAAATGTCTACAGAAAAGGAAGCATTGCATTGCAAGGGACATAGTTCTAGTTTCAGCTATTTAAGGTTGCTTCCCACTATTTAATGGCATCACATCACAACAGCTTTGTATTCAAAACTCTGTACACAGTAGATTATAAATACTAAATGGGGCATTGTATTGGCAATTGTGTATGCAGCAAGCCAATGAGATTCATGTACACTTATAAAGTAAGATCAACCTGAAAGCATACAAATCATTCAAAGAAAGAAAAAAAAATAACCCAACCTTAATTGATTGAGTACATCTTAATTATTTAACATGCCAAACTGAGATAATTGGAATTAACTACATTACTACATATAATGATGCAGTGATATTGTAATACATGTTCTTTCATAACCTGCTTCACTAGAGCAAATACCAAAACGGCATAACTGCAATTCAGTTCCAATTTCTTGGACTCCAAAACACATTAAACAGAGAATCACTGCAGGATTCAATCGTTAGGAAGGAATATGATTAGCTACTCTGAAGGTTTAAGATGTCTTCTTGGCTTAATTTTTAGGAAATTGTTTTTTCCCATATCTGCCTACTCATGAAATCAAGTGTGCAATTCTTGTGTCAGCTCTAATTAAAGCTTCTATATTTCACATTAATTGAAAGGTTAACCATCATACAAATTGAAACCTGTATATTAAAGCCACCTAACAAAAAAAACCATTATTAGTCCAACACTCCAACTAGGGATGAAAAAGAACAGGATCGGTCAGGATAAACCCTCTCCTGCTTTCACTTTTACATTTTAATACAGAAACAAAATCTAATTTGGGAAGGCTGGAAACGGGGTTCACCGGAAATCGAAAACGGATCAATTCGAACGGGAACGTGTCGATAACGATTGGGATACGGACAGACAAAACGGAAACATATAGAACCAAGAAACATCAAAAACTTACCTACCGACTTGGCATGGCAACACTGCCAACACAAATAATTCTAATTCATACTGTAAGGTCATAAGATGACAAAAGTATAAGAGTGCAAGACCATAAGATGACAAGGCTACTATGATGTGGCATAGATGACTGTGCTACATAATTGCACTTCCTAAAACGGGATATTCTATGCGGACAAAAGCGGGATATCCCAGAAAAAATGGAAAAAGCAAAAACAGTCGGAAAAAACAGCCATATTATTTTCGTCCGTTTTCAGATTTACCAAAAACAGAAAAATCATAAACGGTCAGAATGATCGCCAATACAAATTCGCAGCAGGTCAAATGTAGAAATTGGGACGGAATGGAATGGAACAGTATTTATGGCAGCCGTTTTCACCCTTAAGTCCAACAGTGTCTGGACATTAAGAATAGGCAATGATAGTTCACATCACTGATTCAAAGGAAATAAATTAAAATGGAAATCAGGGCACAGGAAGAATGGCGTTTTCTCCACGTGATACCTTGAAATCAACAAATGCAACTGGAGCTCCAAGCTTGTTTTGCATCTTGAGCTTCACAAATCCCGCACAACTAATCATAAAAATATGTATGTCAAACCAAATAAAAAAGTCCATATGATGGTAACTCATCTCATGAAGCGTCAGTATATTGGCAATACCTTGAGAAAACATCTATCAGCTCTTGCTCCGAACAAGCTGGACCAAGGTTCGCAACAAAGAGAGTAGGACATGGAGGATTATTTTGAGGGGCAAATGTGGATGGGTCCTGCAGGCAAGTGCATGAGACAACTACTACATAAGGCTTGCATCTCTTCAAATAAAGCATCTCATCCAAAAACAGGAGAAAATAAACTAAAAGCTGACAGTATCAAAACATTTTTGTTTCTTAAATCCTAAGCTTTGCAGTTCTTGTTCATAGAGACATGGATCTTTATTCAGAGTTTCATTGAACAAGTTCAGTTTGTAATATATGGCTTACTCAGCTGGTCAACATCAAAGGTTACATTCATCATCGTTTCAACATACAATAAAAAAAACATGTTACTGGAACCAACCACCCCCATTCATATAATGACACAACTTGGTAAAAGGTAGCATGCTTTGTGGCAAGCGCTTACATCTTCCATCTTAAATACCAGAATTATCTGTTAAAGTGGCATATAGTTTTTCATACAGAACAATCAAGGATGAATATCACAAAAAAACCTTTCATATCAAAATCTCAAAGTAACTACATTGGGAGTACTGGTGGAGAGTGCCCCCTAATCCAATATTTTCGCTTCATTTCTTCAAAGTTCAATCTTGAAACAATAAAGCATGTCGTACATGTTATGCATATCAAGGGAGAAGGTGTGAGACCATGAGTTACCTTGCTGAGAGAAGTACTAGACTCAAGGCTTGTGTAACTGCAAGATGGAACAATGTCAACTATAATTTCCTAAAAGCATAGCTTCAATCTAGATTGATGATCTACATTCTAGTATGAGCTAGAGGGTAGCTTAAGCTGGGTCCCCAACAAAATCACATGATAAAACTGTGCTCGAGTAGTGTGCCATAACCTTTGTGCAGAGGGATAACCACTCAAGCTGTGTGAAGAATTACCCATTCCAGATATGTAAATATTGCTTCCAGCACCTGATAGGGCGCAAAGTGTGCCAAAGATGTGCAATGTGAGGGCTTTGTAAGAATTTTCAGCTATGTGAGTAAAGAGGCACTTCATTGAGGATATGAAGTCACTGATAACACATTTAGTAGCGTATGAACACAAAGAAAATAGTGGAATATATACTATAGGAACTCAAGATAAACTAATTCCCATGAAAGTTACAAATCAATTGTGACTGCTAGGAGGGAGAACTGTGGATTTGGAACAGCTTATATTGTTCAAGTGATTGTAGTGGAGCTGCCATAAGCTGTAAGCACTAACATCGCCCTGGTGTGAAAATACAGATGGTTTTCTTTCATGGCATGCTGCCCGAAAAGCTACTTGAGTGATACCTGAATCAGGAAATCCCCTTGGTTTCCTAGTTCTTTTTTCAGGAGAATAAGGTGAAATATCATCTGAATGGCAACAAAAGTGGGTCAATGTCAATAAAGAACCACATAGTACAGAAGGAACATATGAAGGAAAGATGTTCCAGAACTGAAGGGCAACTGTCTACCTGATCTCAAGCGCTTTGATCTGGAATTGGATTTGGCGAGATCTACATGAAGAGAACAATTCTTCTCAAGATCAAACACCATTCCCTGCAACAAGAAATGACTCAACACTACTGTAACTTGATATAACATATTACTAGCATCCATAACTTGTGACGTGGAAAGAATTACTTCAGAAGCAAGGTGAATCGAAAATTGTGTGGATGTGGGACCAATAGTTTAGCTGCACTCAGTATAACTATTGTTCGGCAATGCCGTGTGCAGTAATGCAGCACTTACATTTGTGGCACTCAAGGCAGTTAGTGCAGACTGTTGATCTGCAAACACAGCAAACGCATACGCCTGCAAAGGGGAAAAACCAGGTCGGTTAGGTTAAGGGGATTTTTAACTTTTTGCCATCCTTACGAATGGCACTCCTTGGCAGAAGTGCAAGCCCTAGCGTGAGACAGACGGAGGGGTTGGGGGTAAGGGGAGGAGAAAACCTGGGAGGATTTGCCCGTGCGGAGGTGGGAGGAGACGTAGCCGGGGAAATCGCGGAAGAGGTTGTAGACTTCGCGCGGCTTGGCGTCGGCGGGGAGGCCAGCGATGAAGAGGGTGCGGAGCTCGTCCCGCGCCGAGAGGGCCTGCTCCGCGCGGTCGTAGTAGGCGCCGTAAGCGGCCGGGGGTGCCGGCGCCGGCGGGTAGGCGTGGCGGTACGCGCCGTACGGGGAGGTGCCCGGCGGGGGAGGCGGCGGCGGGTAGGAGGATGAGGAGTGGTTGAAGTACGAGGCGGCCATGCGGCGCGGGATAGCGAGGGCCGAGGGGTCGGGCAAGCGGTGGCGGTGGCTATGGGCGGCCGCGGCGCCGGCGTGGGTAGTGGAGTGTCACGGTGGGTACTGGTGTAGTGGTGAGGGTGCGGCCGATGGAACTGGGGTGCTTTTTCGAGGGTGCTACCGGAGTACCGTGGGATCGTTCTGTGTAAAAAGAGATCGCAATGACTTTGTGTTTTCCTAAAAATTCAGCAGTCTTCGGTGATACTGTTTCATTTTTTTTTCTCCCTCAAGGGCACTACAGTTTGGGCTCTAACTTCGTTGAACTGGAGGCATAAAAAATCAAAAATACCCTTAAGTCTAAATATATCATTAAATTTTTTTTGAGCATCTTAACGATTTCCAATGAAAAAAGCTCAAAACTAAAAAGTTGTAGATCTCGTCGAGATCTATAATTTTATATAAAATTATCTTCATTTAATTTCACAAAAATATGATTTGATATGATTAATATATCTTAGAAAAATCATATCTTTTTGTGGAATTAAATGTAGATAATTTTATATGAATATTATAGATCTCGACGAGATCTACAACTTTCTAGTTTTGAGTTTTTTCATTTGAAGTCGCTAAGATACTAAAAAAATTAATGACATATTTAAACTTAAGGGTATTTTCGACTTTCACCATAGTTTTTAAAGCGTCGCATAGGCGGCGACTAGGCGTCCGAAGCGGATTCCAAACGGGCGTCATGGGTCGCGGCGCCCTCATCACAGATGGCGTCGCCTCGGCATGGTGAAAGGCGTCGCCTAGGCGCGCCAATTTTGCCGAGGCGTATCGCCACCGGATGGAAAAGCACGCGAAAGAGCGTCACACAAGGCCAAGACGGGAAAAGAGCGGCGATGCGCAGCGATGGGAAAAGAAGCAGTGCAGACGCCTACACCTCCCGCCAACCCAATCCCCATCAGCGTCGGTTGAGAGAGGAGAGGGAGAGAAAGGAATGAGAGAGAAGAGAGAGAGGGGCGGTGGCACGCCTGAATCCGCCCAAGACGCAGCAGCGATCGCTCTCGCGAGTCCGGCCCGTCCGCGCCCACTTCTCATGAAGCGCGACTCTGTCAGCGTCCGTGACTCCATACCTCTGCTCATGACCGACTCCGCCTCCGTCACATGCGACCCATGAAAGCAGCCTCATGACCGACTCCGGCCTCGTCCCCAACCGCGCGATTGGCAGTTACGTCCTCCCCTCCTCTTTCCTTTGCTGCTCTGCGGCTCTCCTCTTGCTCCCCCTTCTTCCTCTGCTCTTCCTCCGCCTCGTTCCCATGCTCTGCTCCTTCCTGTGCTCTACTTTGTTTTCTCTGCTCTGCTCGTTTCTCCTATTTATGTGTTACAGTTTGATAGTTGGAATGGATAGCTCACAGGTGTGCTCTTCTGATGTGGTTGCCTAATTGCTGTGAATAATTAATATATGCTTGACTGTTTGTCTCTCTGACGTCTGAACTTTGCTGCATAAGAGAGGTTAATTTATTGATCTGTGTCATTGTTATATGTGCCTCTAAGGCTTAAATTGTGAACATCAGTATGTGTATGACGTCGCCTCACCGCGCGCCTAATTCGCCTAGGCGTCTGGAAGGGGGTGGAGCGCCGCACCTCGCCTTACCGCCTTAAAAACTATGCTTTTCACACATGCAGTTAACGGCGTTAGAGCCTAAACTGACGGCAGTGGCATGGAGGGCACAAAAAAATTGAAGCAGTGGCGCTGAAGACCGCTGAACTTTTTCAGGGGCACACAAGGCATTGCGATCTTTTTTAATGGCACACAGAGAATTCCCTCATGGTTTTGGAGTCAGGTTTGGTATCTTTTGCCTCAAAGTTACCTTATTCAGACCTGTTTGAATCAATTTATAAGATTTTCAAAGAGATCGTAGAAGAAAATCAACATCTTTACAGTTTTTTCTGTCGTCTAAAGCGTTCAAACGTGCAAACTCTAGCCGATGGTGGTGCTCTAGCGCAAGTGCGCAACCTGCGTCCATGCTCTTCTCCGGAGGCCCTGTTCGTTTGAACTTATCAGCCGCAAAAACCATCAGCCGAACAGGTCGGGGTGGGCTTAGAAAGAGGGTCGGATGAGGCAGGCAAGCAGCCCCAATGGTGCAGCAAGACGAAGGCGGCGGTGATGCTGTTAGAACGTGCAGCGGAAGAGACAGCAGGGCGGGGTTAAGACGGGGGACGACCATTGCCATGGCAGCAGCTTGGAAAAAGGGGAGGAGGAGGTCATCGCGGGCATGGTAGGGTCTCGCCGCAGCTCCAGAGCCATGGACGGCGAGACCCTACCCGCCACGGCGAGGCAGTGGGCAGCGGTGGCGTGGGGTCACGCTCTCGTTAATAGCGCCGACCTATCGCGCGTTATCGGCGTCCTTTGGAGCAAACGAGATCCAGTGTGGTGGCCACTGCTCCTGCAACTTAAGCACTGCACGCAACTTCGGTTGTAAATGGATCAGATCCAGTGGTATAACGCTGAATTAAGCACCATATCAAACAGAGTTAAACCGTGTGTGTTTACACTACGGTTTAGATCAGGCCTCTATCGTATTAACAAGAGGTAGCATATGTTAATATATATCTCTTTATTTACCTCTTGTTTCCTATATGGTAATTATCATTTTTAATGTATAAAATTTTATATGATTCTTGAAGTCCAGTTTCAACTTTTAAGAAGCATGCTATAATGCGTCTGTGAGAAAAAAAATAGTCCACGTTAGAAAATTGTAGCTATATGAGTGTGAGTGTGACTGTATCATCTGTTCCGTCACCAATGGTCAATGGAGCAGCAGAGAGAAAAACAAACGCAGTGATAACTGATAACCTGAATGGATTATTGTCAATGCCTGGCTCAATGGAGCAGCAGAGAGAGAGAGAAAAAACACAGTTATAACTGACAACCTGAATGGAATGAATGGATTTATCATACACTCGGAATCTCCAATATGTGAAGCACAGGAAAATTTCGACCATTGATTCCTCTTATTAGTAGTTAGAATAAAATAATGGGAGATGCCGATCTATACCTCTACTTTCAAACGCTAGTTTTGACTAATTATTAGTCAAAAAGTTTTACCTTTCATTCTTTCAAATCCTAGTATGCCCTACGTAAGAAACTGAGGGATTCTATCTTAAAATTCTCAACACCCGCTACAAGCTAGAACACGCAAGGTGCAAGTGCAATGCAACCAGGCATCATTCGTCCAGAAAATCTCAATTAGCCATTCGGCAGAAAATCTGGGCAGATAAAATAGCAGCGTAGCAGTACACTAACATGTTCTAGAAGACCAATAGGCATCAGACATTGTGATCCTGCCTTAGCAGTAAACGAATGAAACACACTTCTTTACAGCACTTTCCAGCTTGTCGTATAATCCGTACTTTTCAGCTTGGTTTTTCAGCCGGAACCGTGTTTTTCTCTCACGACAAATCAGCCGGAACGGTGTTTCGGCTTGTTTTTCCAGCGAAGCGAACGGGGCCAATTCAGTTGCCTGATAACGAACTTCCTGAACACCCTAGTCCATGAATGCTACTTCACTTACGTGTACTGTGCTTCACTTTGCAATGAGTTTCAAGACCTGACGGAAGAGTAGAAAGTCCTGAACAAGACCAAAAAGGACGTCCATGTGTGAGAATGCATGAACGCATTTAGTTGGAAGAATTTCTGATACAAGAGGCGAGAAATTACTTGCTGCACGACTTGCAGGCATAGCCAGTGGATTGATTAGAGCTGTCAATGATTGAGCGAGTCATCTTCACCTGCTTCAATGATGGATAAGGGGTTGCAACATGGACGTGGTTACTTTTCTTAGCATCATCACTGACTGCAAAGTACATCACAAAGTGAGGTTCCGGTGCCATGGAAAAGAACTGAGAGCTATACAAGTTTGCGATCGAATGAAAAGCTTCTCACCAGTTTTTTTGCCCACAGACGGTGTTGTGATCCTTGCCTTCTTCCCTGGAGGTGTCTTCAAGGGTGTTTCTGCTGGCCTATTCTTGCGCTTAGCACTCTGCATAAAAAACAAATATCAGGATATCAAACAAAACAAAGATTAAGGAGAATGTAACAAAAAGTCAGCTTAAAAAGCTCACACCTTTGGAGAGTCTTCATCATCTTCTTCATTTGAACTCTCACCATCATCCTCATCACTAGAATTCTGAGCATCAACCATGTCATGCAAAAGAATAATATGGTCAGGATACACATGATATCCAGTGCTGGTAGAAATGCATCGTGCACTTACAGGAACAATGCCCAGTTTCAGGCTGAAAAAGGTGTAGGTTCAGGAAATGGATAACAGACCCAAACCAAATAACCAATAGTAGTATATACAGTAATAAACACATGAAAAAAAGTATAACCGCATACATAAGAAATTTGGTTCACAATAGATGATTACCTAGGTTATCTTCAGTAATACAACAAAATGACTTATACTTTGGCTGCTCACTCAATTCTTTATGCCGGTATCACAATAAAACAATCTAGACAAATGAGAGAAAAAACTGAAACATGGAGGAAATGATATCTCAGTCATGATTCATCACTTATACCAACCTCATCATCACCCGATTCACCACCTTCTGAATCAACATCTTCGTCACTTTCATCATCGTCAGTGCCACCAACATCAGCTTTATGCTTGTCAGGATTCTTTGCTTCCTCCAAGCAAACCTTTGCTTTAGAGGACTCAGTAGCAGCAGGCTTCTCCACACCACATTTACTTTCTTTGCTTTTATCATCTGAACGTAAACAATGTTAAGCAAGTGAGTGCTTCAAGGATCCAAATGTGAGCTTATATTATCTAATTTAGCGGATTCTGTGACATATACAATGAGGATAGTGGATAAATGTGCTAAACATGTATATGTGTGCAGTCATAATGCAGAGAGAAGAAATGCAATCTTAACTCATAAAAACAAATTTTCTTTGTAGAACAAGGATATACCATCTGCGTTAGGGTATAATGGAATAGCCTGTGGAACCTCCTCATCTGAAACATCAATCGCTATGCTGCTTATGCCAAGTGATAAAAAAATAGGGATATCCAATATTGAAAGAACAAGAGCATTACCTTCTTCAGTACTTGTTTCACTGTCATATGTGATAAAAGACAGAGAAGCGGTTAAGGAACAGAAATTTGTGTTCGAGCTTCTTTGAAAATATTGAAGAAAGTAAAATGGAAGGATATTTTCTCTTGCAATGCCTAAATTTGTAGCCAAGGGCAGAGATGGTGCTGGTTTTCGAGGTGTGTAGGAACTCAAACTCCTTCTCGAATACCAAACTAGTTGTATACTGAGGGCATTTGTCAACTGATAGTGTTCCAATTGGGAACTCTTTGCCATTAACCTTCACAAAAACTTTCACATCCTCATTCCCCTTGCTATCCTGTAATGCTATCTTAAAAGACCAACAACTGAAAAGTCAAAAAAACAGGAACCTCCCAAAAACAAGATAAACAAAGAGTCATTATTACTAGTAGAAACCAACCTGCGAAACATGGCACCAGAACTCTCCTGGGTCACACTTCACTGTCGCTCCAGGTCTGACTACAACTCCTAGTAATGTTAGCATACCTTTTAGTATCCACAATAAGTAAGATAAAGATAAACTATTGACATAGTAGCAAATTGCAGGAAAATAGGAGATTTCTTCTAAGGGAACAAGGCCATTGGCAGTGCTAACATCCAATTATAACATCAATTGCATTTATATTGTCAAAGGATTGGATCATGTTTATACTAAGGGAACAAGGCCATTGACACACACACACCAGATAGATGAGTAAGCATCCAATTATACTCATCTATCTAGGTGCATTGGAGTAAATGTAATGTTAAGCCTACACAAGCACAATGTAATCACACTATCACAGCATCATGTTTACCTGATTTGATAGGAAACCTTCTACAGTTCATGAAAAGCTGAAAAACCTTGCAAACTAAACTTGTCTCCCTCGACCTTCTCAGTCACGGAGCATTCTGATTTACCATGTACCACGGCTGCATTGGCGGCATAAGCTAAAAATCACCCATCCCTAAGTTCATGAAAAGCTAAAAAATTAGAAGGGCGGGCCTGGTGCAAGCGGTAGAGTCTTACCGCCTGTGACCGGAAGATTCCGGGTTCGAGTCGTGGTCTCCTCGCATTGCACAGGCGAGGGTAAGGCTTGCCACTGACACCCTTTCCCACCCCAGACGTGGGAGCTCTCTGCACTGGGTACGTCTTTTTTTAAGCAGCAATACATACTACTGAAAAACAGTGGCAGACAAGTCGTAGTCTTAACCCGAACCAACCAGCCTCACCCAGGAAACAACCAAAACCTTTCCCCAATCAACAGACCGAGACAAACAAGCCGAACGCAAAATCGCACAAAGGTCATCTACGAACCCTAGGGGATGAACAGGTTGATCGAACCTCTCACTCTTTCTACATTGGATCTAGCATCAGCGATTACCAGCACAAAATAGCAAACGACGAGACAGAGACACAATACAAATAGGGCGATGCACCCTAATATCCACTAAAGCAGGCGCGATCGGAGAATAAAAGAATAAAAGGGAAGATCTCGGCGTACAGTACGAACCCCAGTACTCAAATATTCCGTTCATCGTGGCTCGTCGAGGAAGAAAGACACGCGACGGGGTCCCCGGCGGCTTCTCTCCGCCGCGGTGATTCTCGAGAGGAGAGGGTTTTGGGCTTGAGACTTTTCCCCGTGTGCCATTATAAAAGATCGCAATCCCCTGTGTGTCTTTGGAAAAATTCAGCGGTCTTCAACGCCACTACTTCAACTTTTTCGTGTCCTCCATGCCACTTCCGTCAATTTGGGCTCTAACGCCGTCAAACTATAGGTATGAAAAGACGAGAATACCCTTAAGTCTAAATATGCTATTAATTTTTTTGAGCATCTTAACGACTTCAAATGAAAAAAGTCAAAACTAGAAAGTTGTAGATCTTGTTGAGATATATAATTTTCATATAAAATATATTTTCATTTAATTCCGTAAAAAATATGATTTGATATGATTAATATATCTTAGAAAAATCATCATTTTTTTGAGGAATTAAATGAAAATAAATTTTATATGAAAATTATAGATCTCGACGAGATCTACAATTTTCTAATTTTGAGTTTTTTCATTTGAAGTCATTAAGATGCTAAAAAAATCAATAACATATTTAGACTTAAGGGTATTTTCGTCTTTTCACACCTGCAGTTTGACGGCGTTAGAGCCCAAACTGACCGAAGTGGCATGGAGGACACGAAAAAGTTAGAGTAATGGCGCTGAAGACCGCTGATTTTTTTTAGAGGCACACAGGGAATTACGATCTTTTATAATAACACACGAAAAGTCTCTTTGGCTTTTGGGAGCGGCTTGTGAGGGACGCTGAGGGGCGGCGCCTGAGACGAGGAGGAGCGTATGCCTAAGTGGGCCTGGGAATGCGGATTCTCGTTTGGCCCAGTGGGCTTGCAGCGTTTCGTGAGTCGTGACTTGGTTTTCAGCCTCACGAGGAGGACACGGCCACGCATTCACACCGTCACACGGGTGACGGCCTGACGGGACCGCGGCCCCCACCCGCTTCCGGCTTCCCTGCCGGCTGCCGCGCCTCCTTGCCATCCTGCTCCCACCCCACCAATCGGCCGCTCTCATTTGCTCTGGTACCTACGGCGCCAGTACGCGTTTTCCCTTCCGCCGTTCCGCGTCCTCGTGCGTGAGACCCCAAGCCGCGAGCGGTGAGCCCCACGCACGCTCCGCCGCCGCTACCACTCATGCCGACGCCGCCCGACCAGTGAAGTAAACACGCGACGCCGCGCGGCGCGAGCGGGAACGGCAATGAGGCCGCCGCCGCCGCAGGGCCGGGGAGCAGGCGGGGGTGGCGCGCTCGGCAGGCGCGCGTTCGCGTCCCTCCTCGCGGCGGCCGTCGTGGCGCTCGCGCTCCTCTGCCTCTTCTACGGCGCCGCCTTCGCCCCCTCCATCCGCCGCGCGCGCCCTCGCCTTCCCCTCCGGCTGCGGTTCCGGGCCCAGGGGACGGAAGCGCTCCCAGCAGGCCTCGTCGTCTCCTCCATCCCGGTGCGCACCGCGGCCGCCCAACACCCGCGCCCTCTGCTTGTTTCGTTAACGGAGTCGTGATGGCGGTCTGTGCTTTGCTGAGTGTGCTGACCCCGCGTGCGTGTGTCGTGGGGTTCGAAATCGAACAGGTGTGCGACGCGCGGCACTTGGAGCTGATCCCGTGCTTGGACCGGGGCCTCCACTACCAGCTCCGGCTCCGGCTCAACCTCTCCCTCATGGAGCACTACGAGCGCCACTGCCCGCCGGCGCCGCGTCGCCTCAACTGTCTCATCCCACCGCCCGACGGATACCAGGTGAGGGAGAAGCCACCGTGTGTTACATTGCAGAGTGCTGTGTTGCACTTGCACCTTGCTGATGTGATGTGATGTGCGCGCGATGCGTGCTTAGGTGCCCATCAGGTGGCCGAGGAGCAGGGACGAGGTCTGGAAGGCCAACATACCACACCCGCACCTTGCTGCTGAGAAGTCAGACCAGCGGTGGATGGTCGTCAATGGCGATAAGATCAACTTCCCTGGTGGGGGCACCCACTTCCACACTGGCGCTGACAAGTATATTGTGCACCTTGCGCAGGTTTGAGATATTCCTGAGGCTAATCTACTGCACATGATTGATGGTTGCTATCGTAGGCTAATGTGACCAATGTTTTTCATCTGTGGTGGTAGATGCTGAATTTTCCAAATGACAAACTCAACAATGGTGGGAACATCAGGAATTTGCTTGATGTCGGCTGTGGGGTTGCCAGCTTCGGCGCTTACCTTCTTTCGCATAATATACTTGCGACGTCTCTTGCTCCCAATGACGTGCATGAAAATCAAATTCAGTTTGCTCTTGAGAGAGGGATCCCGGCTACCCTTGGTGTGCTGGGTACAAGGAGGCTGCCATACCCAAGCCGCTCGTTCGAAATGGCACACTGCTCTCGTTGTCGGATTGACTGGCTGCAGAGGGATGGTGTCTTGTTGCTGGAAGTGGATAGGGTATTAAGGCCTGGAGGATATTTTGTGTATTCATCACCGGAGGCCTATGCTTTGGACCCCTTCAACAGGAAGATATGGAGACAGATGAGTGACCTTGCTCGAAGGATGTGTTGGCGGGTTGCATCTAAGAAAAACCAGACGGTGATATGGGCTAAACCATTGACTAATGGATGCTATATGAGGAGAGAGCCTGGAACACTTCCCCCCATGTGCGAACGTGATGATGATCCTGATGCTGCTTGGAATGTACCCATGAAAGCATGCCTAACTCCATTTTCTAAGAGTTAGTTCATTCCCTTCATTTTCCTTGAGATCATCAAATACCATAATAGTTTATACCCCCTTATGGAGTTTGAATTTTTTATTGATTATATGTGAAGAAAAATACATGTAGCCAAATTGTTATTGCTCGAGTTGCCCATTCAACAGCCAATAGGCTCAAACCCAAGTATGGTTTGCTCTGACAATTGCAGGAAGATACCATCTCCCTGTTTATTGTGCAAATGTAGATGAGTACATCTAAGGATGAAAACGGAACGGAAATATCCCGAACCGAACCGCATCGTTTTCTATATTTAATCCGATCGAATCCGCATTTTCTTGTCCGACTTTACCGTTTTCGCTTTCGCATTTGAGATGTTTCGTATTTCAAATGTAAAAGTAGAAAACGGTTTACACATTTTTCAACCGTTTTCTACTTTTCTACTTTTAATTTGAAATATTCCGAATTCAAAATTCGGTTTAAACCGAATTTGGCCAACTGTACAGGTCATACAACCCAATAACAGGCTGCTCACCACGCAGCTGCGTTCTTTCTATTGGTGGCTAGCTGCCCTCTCTTATAGACAGCGCCCAGCCTCATCTATCTTATTATGTATTTGGTTGTGCACTTGTTTAATGCTGTGCACTTAAACTAGATCATGCACTTGTTAGTTGTGAACTTGTTATGTATTTGGTCGTGCACTTGTTTAATGCTATGCACTGTGGGTCGGTATTTCGTATTGAATTTTCGCATACCGACCGTGTTCGACATAATTCCGCTCGAATTGGTTCGTTTCCGAAATTCTAGATATTCCATAAGTTCGTGTTCGTTTTCGTGTCCGGCTTGTCCGCTTTCGTATTTCAAATGTAAAAGTAGAAAACGGTTGAAGAGTTTTTCAACCGAGTTCGACCGTTTTCATCCTTAAGTACATCTCATAGATTACTCCCTTCTTTTCTTAAGTTTTGTCGGTGATGCCTCCTCACCTTTGTTGGTTACCTTCTACTATTTTTCGCGCACACACCACAGGGCCTATTTTGGTGCCTTTTCTTGAAATACCTTAAAAATTGTATTAGGACAGTCACAAAACATAGTTACTGGCGACCATTGGTGAAATGATTATCCTATAATTTTTCGAATTTTTACTGTTACAATATGACCTGCCATACCATTTTCTAGAATTCTGTTCAACTTTCCAT